AGCCAAAGGCAGACACTCAACCACTGAGCCACTCAGGAATCCCAGCAGATTATATCATTTGGAAATATGGAGCTAAATTAACAGAAGGCATGGTTAAAATTGTTGAAAAGCATTGCCCCAGAGGAATAGGACAGAGGGGATGCAAGGAAAGGGTCTAAAACAGCTATTTCTTATTATATGCCTTAAGTTCTATTATACAATTCAAATTGTGTACATGTTACTTTAACAGGATATTTTAAAAATTATTTAAAAATGCAAGAAAGCAAAAAAATAAATAAATAAAATAAAATAAATACAAATAAAAATGAAAGAAAGCACTATCTTCACATACACATTTAAAGAAATTTACATACAGAGAAATCACGTAGACCACATCACCATGCAGTGAATGTGGAAAATAACATCAAAGAAGATAACGCTTATTCCTCTTGGGAATAAAATGAACCAAGAAAATAAAACAGCCTTCTATATCAAACTTAAGAAGAAAGAACAACTAGGGGCACCTGGGTGGCTCAATCAATTAAGCATCTGCCTTCGGCTAGGGTCATGATCTCGGAGTCCTGGGATGGGCTCCCCACTAAGCAGGGAGTCTGCTTCTTCTCTCTCTCTCTCTGCCTCTCCCCCTATTCACGCTTTCTCCCTCTCCCTCTCTCAAATAAATGAGCAAAACCTTTTTTGAAAGGAAGAAAGTAAAACCAAAGTTCTAGATTATTTAGAAACAAGTAACAATGACAGGGATACGTATGAAAAATCTAATGAATGTGGCCAAAATGACAATAGGAGGAAAAGTTACAGCCTTTGTGGATTTGTTTGTAAATAGAAGTTTAGAAATAAATGAATAGTGCAATTAATCTAAAGTAGAAGAAAGAATGCATTAGGAAACAAAAGGCCAACATCTGACCCATAAGACAAAATCCGTGACAGGCCTAACAAAACAGACAAAACTTTGGCCAGTCTGATTAAGATAAACAGATGAAGTGGTCAAGGGCGTTGCCTCTCCAGCAATCATTCCACCTCAGGATGATTAAGCTAAGTAGGTTATGGTGGGTGATTCTCCTTTCTAGTGATTGATTAGGAATGGGTATGTCACTCGGCCCTGACCATATACATATATGATATGGCAAGACTGCAGGAGAAAGGTTCAACGCTCTTAAGAAAGAGGCACGTAGAAGAGGTAGTTAGTCCCTTTCTGTCTCTGGATTTCTTTTTCTGGATTTTTGGGTATGATGCTCAGAGCTGCTATAATCATCTTGCCTCCAGACCAAGGGCAGTGCCCACAGAGTTGCAGAAAACTGGACCCAGAGTCCCAATGTGCTGGAGACATCCTGTCTCTGGACTTTTTGTTATGTGAGATAATACGTTTCCTTATTGTTTAAGCCAATTTGAATCATGCTTTCCTGTTATTTCCAGCTGAAATCATCTAACTGATAGAAGAAAGCAAGCCCAAAAGCTAGGTATGAGAGGGGGGATGTAAATACAGACACATAAATTATTACCAAAAAATGGAAGAAAATGTAGTGTACAGCTACATAGCAGTAAAATGGGTGATTTTTCAAACTTGACTCCAAAAGAGATAAAAATGCCTAATGAGACCAATAATGACAGGAAACGAAAGTTTGTCCCAAGATCTATCCCCCCAAAAAGGTATCAATCCCCTATGATATTATAGGATGAGTCTATCTATCAAACTTCAATTATCTACTATAAGGGGAAGTTGACAGACCTTAGAAACTACAAGAAACAGGGCAGATTCAAGGATGTAGGAAGTTGGTCTCACCCCAGTGGTACCATTGGGATGAATGAACTTCACCGGCCTTCAGTCATGGTCTAATTTGCTCCAGATTTAAATTCCAGGGAACCAGCACCTGCTTGACTAGCTTGGATGCACGCTCTCCTCTAGAATCAGGTTTGAACTCCGCCCGCCTACCCACATGAACTGAGAGGGTCAGTAGAGCTGTTTCGCCAAAGCAAAAGCAATCTTTGTTACTAAAATCAGAGGAAATTCATGCTGGGTAAGGAGCAGGAACAGAGTCCATTATAATCAAATGGGCAAAAATTTAAAGTGCCCCACATTAATGAGGATGTCAGGAAATGGGCACTCTGATATGATTTGGGAGGACACATAAGCTACTTTTTTAGAGAAAATATGGGAGTATCCTCTGAGGCAGTGATTCTACTTTAGGAATTTATCCTTCAGAAATAGTCACACGTGGGACTCAGTGTCTGGGTGTCTCAGTTGGTTAAGTACCTGCCTTTGGCTCAGGTCATGATCCCAGCATCCTGGGATCGAACCCCATGTGGACTCCCTGATGCTCATTGGGGAGCCTGCTTCTCCCTCTCCCTCTGCTACTGCCCCCGCTTGTGCTCTCTGTGTTAAATAAATAAATAAAATCTTAAAAAAAATAGTCACACATGCAAAGATATCATCCAAAACGTTTATTGCAGCACTGTGTATAACACCGACCAATTGGTAACATTTAAAGTGTTGGTTAGGGCAGCCCAGGTGGCTCAGCAGTTTAGCGCTGCCTTCAGCCCAGGGCGTGATCCTGGAGGCCGGGGATCGAGTCCCAGGTCGGGCTCCCTGCATGGAGCCTGCTTCTCCCTCTCCCTGTGTCTCTGCCTCTCTCTGTGTGTGTGACTCTCATGAATGCGTGAATAATATCTTAAAAATAAATAAAATAAAGTATTGGTTAAATAAAATAGAGTATTTGTGCTATGGGATACCATACAATCCTTAAAAAGAAGAAAAGTTCCATGGCAAGAGCTCCATAATATATTGTTAACCAAAAGAAACCAACTGCATAACCATATGTAAAATATGATCTCACTTATGGTCTTTAAAAAAACCACAAATATGTTTTAGATGCATACCAAAAAGTCCAGAACCAAATCCACACCAAATGTTCAACAGTAGTTACCCATACAAAGGAGAACAAGACCAGGGGCAGTGAAAGGGAACATTCACTTTTACTTCTTTGTAGTTCTGTATTTTTTTTTAAGATTTTATTTATTTATTCATGGGAGATACAGAGAGAGAGAGAGGCAGAGACACAGGCAGAGGGAGAAGCAGGCTCCATGCAGGGAGCCGGATGTAGGACTCCATCCTGGGTCTCCAGGATCCCACCCTGGGCTGAAGGCGCTAAACCGCTGAGCCACCCGGATGGCCCTGTAGTTCTGTATTATTTGAGCTACATGCTTACAGTGAGTGTGAATTTCTGCTTATGTGTGTTTATGAACATGTAAAAATATGACATGATCCAATTTTTAAAATACATGCACCTATTGCTACGGACAGGAGCACAGATGGGCACACTTTAAGTGTTGGGTTGATTGTGGTTTACAGGCTTATAGGTGATCTTAATTATCTCTTGCTTATCTGCCTTTCAATTTTATAAAAAGAGTATTAGTGTAGTAAAACAATTTACATAGAAACTTTTATTTCCTGTTGGAAATGAATTGCTCTCTTGTAATTTATAAACAGGTATACATTATTACTATAAAAATGGGCAAGAGTAGGGGATCCCTGGGTGGCTCAGCGGTTTAGCGCCTGCTTTCAGCCCAGGGCGTGATCCTGAAGACCCGGGATCGAGTCCTACATCGGGCTCCCTGCATGGAGCCTGTTCTCCCTCTGCCTGTGTCCCTGCCTCTCATGTCTCTCATGAATAAATAAATAAAATCTTTAAAAAAGAAAAAAAATGGGCAAGAGTATGTGAACAGGAAAATCACAAAAGAAGAAATATGAATGGCTGATATTCTAAAGCACAGAGTTGAACACAAAGTAAGCCCTCAATAACCTAATAAACCTATTACTTATTCCTTCTAATAACAATACGTGAGTATGAAATCTGATTGTGGGGCCATAAAATGTATCACAAGGGCATCGGGGTAGCTCAGTCTGTTGAGCAACTGACTCCATTTCAGCTCAGGTCATCATCTCAGGGTCATGCGCTCAATCCCCAAATTAGGCTTCTCGCTGGGCATGGAGCCTGCTTAAGATCCTCTGCCCGTTCCCCACTCCACTTGCACACACCTACGTGCATGCACGCTCTTGCTCTCTCTTTTAAAATAAATAGAATACAATGTGTGTATTGGGGCGCCTGGGTGGCTCAGTCAGTTAAGCGACTGCCTTCAGCTCAGGTCATGATCTCAGGGTCCCGGGATCCAGCCCCGAGTAGATTTCCCTGCTCAGCAAGGAGTCTGCTTCTCCCTCTCCCTCTGCCCCTCTACCCCACTCATGCTCCCTCTCACTCTCTCTGTGTCAAATAAATAAATAAAATCTTAAAAAAAATAAAATAAAATGTGAATATCATAGAAAGCTACGGAAACTATACAGGAAAGGAAGCTGCTAAATCCTGAAAGCAAGAATGTCCCAAAAGGAAGTCATGAGAGTCCCAGGAAAACGAGGCTTCTCCAAGGGCACCCACCAAACCCCCAGAGAAGCTGTGAGTCATGTTTTTAACCTGCCAGGATGGCTTCTCTGAGAAGGTCACATCCTTCTGGTAAATAGAAGAGGCGCAGGAAGAGTCAGCAATCTCCACGGAGGACTCATCTGAAGCTTGGCTTCCTGAGAACTGGTTTTGCAAAACAAAGTGATTGTTTTCTTTGCCATGGGAGGAAGAGGAAGAAGACATGGGAACCAGAAGACAAATCCATTGGAAGAAGAGTATTAATTTTTTTATGTTTATTTATTCATCAGAGACACAAAGAGAGAAGCAGAGATATAGGCAGAGGAGAGGCAGCCTTCCTGCGGGGAGCCTGATGTGGGACTTGATCCGAGGACCCAGGGATCGTGACCTGAGCCAAAGGCAAATGCTCAACCACTGAGCCACCCAGGGGCCCCAAGAGTATTCAGTTTTAAGAAGAGGGACACTCTCCCTACACTCCAAATCTTCCCTCTCCCACACCTCCTACCTGTTACCACCTCCCCAAGATTTTTATCCTTGAGAAGAAACAGGTCAGTCCACACTCCAACCCACACAGCCTTTGGAAGGCAAAGGGCATGCTGTTTTTCTAGTATTTTATTATAAAATGTAATACATGATCTGTACAGAAAAATAAAGAAAATGAAAATCACCAATAATCTCATCACCCCGAAACCACCACTTCTAAGATGTTGGCAAACGTCAGTCTGTTTCAACATTCCTGAATCATATACACCTACATAATTTTTCTCAGGTAACCTATAACATAAGCCTTTCCCATGTTGCTACGATCTCCTAATCCAAGTAATTTGTATCTGCTTTGTGGATGTATGGAGAAGAGTCTAGATGGCGCGAAGTGCTGAGACACAGAAGGAACCAGTACAGTCTGTGACTTTGAGGACAGGGAGCCTTCAGGATTCACGCAGATGACCCTGGAAGGGTCCCCCTCCTTCTCTGGAGCTGTGGCATCCTCTTGTCTTTCCCACGGGGAACTCGGACCTGCGTCCCGGTCTCTCGGATTCTCTTCCCTGGGTCTCAGGCAAGTCGATGGAGACTAAATCTGGTTCTGGTAATCCGGGGCCTCTGTCTCCTCCTCCGGGTGCTGGAGGAGCGAGTAGGTGATGGTGTTCTCAGCCTGGAGATGGCAGAAGGGAGCAGTCACAGGGGTGGAGGCAGCAGGGGAGGAGGGGCAACGGGGGATGGCTGGGGTGGCTCACCTCAATTTTGGCAGCCTCTTCGGTATCAGTGACATTGGCTGTGGGCGGAAAGGACAGAGGTCAGAGGCGCCTGGGTGGGTTAAGCACCTGCCTTCTGCTCAGGTCATGATCTCGGGGTCCTGGGGTCGAGCCCTCTGCTCAGGGGGGCATCTGCTTCTCCCTCTCCCCCTGCCCCTCCTTCCGCTGCTCCTGCACTCAAGGTCGCATGAATTCGTGCTCTCCTTCTATCTTAAATGAATGAATGAGCGAATGCATGAATAAATAAGAACTGCAGGGCACTGCAGAAGAGGGCCTACCACTCTGGCAGGGAGGCCACAGAACCAGAGCCTGAACAGACACGAAACAAGGACCTGTAGGCCAAGAGCTTCGTGCGCTGCCCAGACTCCAGTTATACTTGAAGACAGCCAAGCGATTTAAAAGAAACTGTCACCAAAGATGGCTACCTTTCACATTTTCTTAAAAACAAGATGAATTTAGATAATAACCGGGTTTGGGGGTGGGGAGAGGAGGTGCAAGAGAGTGAGTCACACCCCGGCCACACTGGCAGAGGAAGTCCCTCATCTGTGCTGCGCGGTTTTCAGAGAATGGCTAGCTGACTTTTTCTCCAGCCAGCTTAAAAAAATAAATTAAAAAAAATAAAAAAAAAACAGCCAGCTTTAGGGATCTGAGATGTCGGGGAAGAGATGGGGGGTTGGATATTCAGCATCATAGGGAAGTAAAGTCCAGATTTTTGCCAACCGTGGTCTTCAGGGAGAGAAGACGGGGAGGGGGGGTGCTTTAGCCCTGGCCAGATGCAGCGCATCTTTGTCCCACTTTGAAGAATGTGATACTCCCTGACATTAAAAGGAAAGAAAGCGCAACAGTGAAAGCCAGGGAGGAAGAGGGAAGCAAGCAAACAAGCCAGGGCTTTCCCTGGTAAATAGCTAAAACACATCAATTTCCCACATGTTTTTTGCCAATGAATTCATTTTGCCAGTGTGAAAAGTAGTCCCAGTATCTGCAAAGCAGCATTCCTCAGGTGGGGGTGGGAGGGGGTGAGACAATGCATCTAGTGTCTCCACTCACCCCCTGGACACAGAGAGTCTCTGTTTCCCATGCTCCAGATTCTGGAACAAACCACCTCCCGAACTCTCCTTCCAATGCATTTCTCAACGATCCCAGCTCGCTGATGGGAAGCCATGAGCCCCGGTCCTGGCTGTGACATAAGTGCTTATGAAACATATTCGTGCCAGTGCAGACAGAGCCAAAACTCCAAGGGGCTGTTCTCCTGGTGTTTGGGCTCTTCTCTAGATCTGGTTTGGCCTGGTGGGGCCTCAGGCCCCCCATCCCCACTGGATGTGGCCAAGAACACAAAGGCCTGGCTCAAAGCACAGCGCGACAAGTGGCATTTTGCTCAAGCTCTCGAATCTGTTGGTTCCACTCTGAGTCACACTCCGGCCATCTGACACAGGGTCCTCGAGGGCCTCCTCTCCCTGTTTCTGCTGTCCAGGAGCCCCTCTGGAAAGTCCCAGGTTCCCTCGTGCTCCAGCTTCACTACAGAGCCAGGGCCAGGCTCATGTTTAATAAACTTAATGCACGCGGGCATCAGAGACAGACTTTGCCCAAAAATGAAGCCCCCTAGTGCACCCAGGCCCCTAGAACTTTCTCCATCTCAGATCTCCTCCTAATGCCCCACCCGTACCCCATCAACCCGGAGACAGGCTCCTCAACACGTCTGGGAATTATTCCCTCGGTCTCCCTCTCTTTCCCTCTTAATCCCCTTGGTCTGTCTTCCCACTCCCAACCTCTGTCCTGTGCCAGCTCTGCCCAACCCCACAGAGGGACCCAAATCTCCCTGACTTCCTGCCCTGGAAATGCCCCCAGCATCCCCAGCTCCCAAATGCACAGCCCTGCCCTCTCTATCTGCGACAGGCCGACAGGCCTGACAGGCCAGGCCGAGGAGTTAGTCTCAGAAGCGACCAAGCGATTGGAGCCCCTCCTCCTCCCGCCGCCCCCTCCCTCTCCCAGCTGGCAGCCCCCAGCCCAACTCACACAGGCCGCTGGCGCCTGCAGCCCCCACACGGGGAGGGCACTCACCTGCTGCCTCAGGGAGCCTCTCTCCCATTTCCCTGTGCTCAGGGCTTCCCAGGGGAGCTACGAGGAGGGGCACAGAGCAGGTTAGTAGGGTTATGGGGTGAGGCCTGAGTCCGCAGGCAAGGCCCAGGAGCAGGATTGGGTTAGAACCAACGGGCCCCCTCCCCCGCACATGCCTCCCCTCCTTGTGAATCTCCTATTTGTAGAGCATCAGGAACCAGGGCAGGTGCACGAGGCCAAGGTGCTTGGCCTTTGGGAGGTACTAGGAGTAGGCCCTTCTCCCTCAGGGGTGCGGGGTCTTTTCCCCCCTCTCTCTGGGCATCTCTAGACTTTGTCTCCAGGAAGCTCGCTTTCCAGTGCGATGAACTGTGACAATTTGCTTATTAGATTTCCAGAGCGCCTGGCCTCCTCCCTGCGCTCCTTGACATCGGTGCTAAGGGGCAAAGGACAGCTTTCCGGAGCCGGAGTTCGCGGGGCACCCCTGGGAGAAGAGCTCAGGGTGCCTCGGGCTGCTGGGCAAACTGTGCCGGTGCCTGGCCAGTGAGCCAGGTCTCCACCCACCCACCCCCACCCCCGGTCCCCCCACCCCAGTCTCACCAGCCCCAGAGCACAGCCTCCTGCTCTAACCTGCCCCCACCCCCCACCCCATGTGCCCACAGCACACGCCTTACACACCTTCCTTGCCTCCCCACCCACACCGCCCCGTGGCCACCCGCGCTCCCCGCGTCCCCGCCTTGGTCCTTAGGCCGGCAATGCTCTTCCAGCCTCTTCGCAGCTGCCTGCTACCCTTGGATGTCACCTCCTCCAGAAGGGTGACAGCTCTGTCATGTGCTGTCCCTTACGAACCAGGCCCGGCTAAGAGTTCAGCATCACTCGCCCTCATACAATCCTAGGGGTTCTCTTAGTGTCCTCATTTCTGGATGAAGAAACATGGGCCCAGAGACCCTGAACAACTCCCCCAAGGTCACCCCGCTGTGGCGCTGAGGTTTAAACCGGGACCGGGGGGTCCCACAACATGTGCTACGGCTGCCTTGGCTGCAAGCTTCTCCCTGGGCTCACGCCAGGCTTGGCGTAGGCTCTTGCGTCCCTCGTGTCCCCCTGTCAACCCCACCGCACCGTGAGCTCCTTGCGAGTGGAGACTGGCCTCCTCGAGGGCCGCCGTGCCCAGCGCAGGGCTTGACACATACGCAAGTGTTTTCAAGCCTCGTTGAATGAATCAATGAATCAATGAATCAATGAATGAATGAATGAATGAAATATGAGGCTATGTCTGAATTATAAGGATTCTCTTGGCCCAAAGAGGAGGGTACGGCAATGTTCCGGTTAGGGTCTTGGCCCAGTAGGAACTGACAGCAAGAGGAACCGAGAGAAGCCACAAACCTGAAGTTTGCTTTCGCCTGAGGCGGAGCCAGGCCACTACAGCAGCAAGGATGGCCACGACGGCCGTGCCAGCAACCGCAGACACAATTGTCATCACCACGGAGGAGTCACTCGAGTCGGATCCTGAGGAAGACAGACCTCAGGACAGGCTGTACCGTCCACCTCCCGTGCTCTTGCTCAGGGCTCCTCCCTAGGAGCTGCTTTGTGTCCGGGTCCCTTGTCCCTTGTCTGGGTCCTTCCCCCACCTCACCTGCACAGACCGGGCTGGGACTGGACTTGTGCCTCCCCCCACAGGTGTCTCCCCTAATCTAGTAAAGGCAGGCTACTGAGGGTGTAGGGGTGGAGGCAAGGGCTTCTGTCAGCCCTCCGAGAGAGCAGGGAGGGGGACCCGAAGCCTCCCCCAGGGGGAGGCACCACAACCGGATCCCGCAAGGCCTTGAACTGTCAGGGACATGCCATGCCTTGGGGAGTGAATGGGCCTAACATGAGACCTAAGAAGAAACAAGAAAACCTCAGGTTTCTGGAACGCCCGGGAGCTTAAGGAACTCCTTCCCTGTCCCTAGCACGGGGCCTGCGTTTCAGGGGCACACAGCCTTTCCACCTGTGGCCTGAAGCTGAGGGCTCCAAGCCCCAGCCCCTACTGCTGCCCAGGGCCAATATTTCTCAAGGCCCCCAGTCCTCCCTGCTTTGCCTCAGTGGCCAACTGTTTGGGCCATGGCATTTCTCAGACCTCCAAGTAGACCCATATGACCTTGGCCATAATTGTCCGGCCCCTGATCATCATCCTTCCTTCATCGCAACAGAGTTCCCACCTTGGACAGTGATGGCCACAGGCTGTGACAAGCGCAGCATCTGCCCTATCATCCCTGTGCAGTGGTAGTGGCCACTGTGACTGAGGTTTGCTTCTGGGATGAAGAATGTGGAATTCAGAGAAGAAAACTGCTTGGATTTTCCATTCTGGAAGAATGTGATCTTGTACAGAAGCTTGTTCTTCCAGCTGTGGCACCTCAGCCTGATGGACTCCCCCTTCTGGAACACCAGGCGAGGGGTCTGGAGCAGCAGCCAGTCTGAAAGACACAAAGGGACCCTAGGACCCGGGAGGTCTTGACTCAACTCTGAGACCATCCTTACCAGTGGGACTCAGTGTGTGGAGGGAAGAGCTTAAGTTTGGAATCCAGTGGCTCTGGCCTTAATGCTGGCTCCATCGTTTGGGAGCTCTACGGTCTTGGGCCTCTTCTGGGCCTTGGATTCCTCCTCTGTGAAAATGGACATAACAACATTAGGCATCTACAGTCGTGCCTGGCACAGGGTAGGAGTTCAGGTTATGCCTGTCTTCTCTTTCCTGTCCTGGGAGAAGGCAGCAACAGCCCTGTCCTGCCCAATAGGCTCCTGCAGGAAGGATACAAGAGAGTCCTGGGTACAGTCCTTCCCTGAGGGAGGAAGGAGAGGGACCCAGTCTGACCTAGAAGATGACAGGTGAGGGGACACAGCAGAGACATGTCTTTCAGGAGAGTAGGAAGTCACGGAGATCCAACAAGTACTAGCTTGTTGGGTGTATGTTGGTTAATGTGGAGTTTCACTGCAGCAGGGTCTTTAAAGGTGTGTCATCACCCTACTGTGTACTTTTTCCCTCCCAATTTTTATCCCTTTACCAAGGAAGAAAAAATAGTATTTTTGTTGTATAATAGAGCCTAAGGGGGATATTTGTACTGCTGACCTCAGCTCACGTACATCTTTACCCTAAAGCTGGAGGCCAGCGCTGAGCTGGAATTGGAAAGAGAGGTGAGGTACAAGAAAAGAGCAGAATTAGAAGGGGGGCACCTGGGGGCTCAGTTGGTTAAGCGTCTGCCTCCGGCTCAGGTCGTGATCTTGGGGTTTTGGAATGGGGGTCGGGTCTTCTCTGCTCAGTGGGGAATCTGCTTCTCCCTCTCCCTCTGCCCCTCCCCCCCACTCATGCTCTCTCTCGCTCTCTCTCTCAAATAAATAAAATCTTAGAAAAAAAAAAGAATTAGGGGATCCCTGGGTGGCTCAGCAGTTTAGCGTCTGCCTTCGGCCCAGGGAGTGATCCTGGAGACCCGGGATCGAGTCCCACGTCGGGGTCCCTGCATGGAGCCTGCTTCTCCCTCTGCCTTGTCTCTGCCTCTCTCTCTCTCTCTCTCTCTCTCTCTCTCCTCTCCCCTCCCTCTTTCTCTGTGTCTCTCATGAGTAAATAAAATCTTTTAAAAGAATAAATGAGGGAGAACCCAAAGAAGATGCCAAAGTTGCCATGTAGCACCAGCAACCAATTCCTGCCCTTCTCTTTCGCCTCGGCCATCCCCGCAGTAGAAGACGTGGGTCATCAGAAGGCTCTTTCCTTCGCTGCAAAGTCTCTGCTGGTACCAGTTACAACCCGGATGATGGGGGTGTCTGCCTTCGGCTGGTCCGTGCGACCTTAGCCCTTAGCCCTCCCCGCGGACACCTGTCTTGGCGCGGATCTTGAGAACAGGGGCCAGCTTAATGTTCGTGGCATTCATTCATGAGATGTTCCTCAAGCATCCATCAGTCTGGGAACGAAACTCCTCTGCAGCCTCCTGGAAGCCTTGCAGAGAAGCCATAAATGCCCACATCTCCTTCACAAGCCTGTGGCTACACGGGGACACGCTCAGTCTCAGGGGTGGGATGCCCTCACTGTGCTTTTGAGGAAAATTTAGGAATCAGGTGAGGGAAAGGGCCCAATGAAGAGTAACAGTGACAACATTCATCATAGTCACATGATGACTTTTCTTTTAATTTTATTTACTTATTCATGAGAGACACAGACAGAGGGAGAAGCAGGCTCCCTGAGGGGAGCCCAACATGGGACTCGATCCCAGGTCTCCAGGATCATGCCCTGACCCAAAGGCAGACGCCCAACTGCTGAGCCACCCAGGGATCCCACTTGATGGCTTTTCTTTATGGAGAAGTTACTTTTTGCCAGAAGCTTTGTAAAATCATTTATCTGTTTAGTAAATGTTTATTAAGCCCTGCCCTTGTCGGGGGCTGGAAATGCAAACATAGTTAAAACATAACTTTCGGGGGGCACCTGGGTGGCTCCGTCGGTTAAGCATTCAACTCTTGGTTCCGGGTCAGGTCATGATCTCAGGGTTGCGAGATCGAGGCCGTGTTGGGCTCTGTGCTGGGCGTAGAGCCTGCTTGAGATTCTCTCTCTCCCTCTGCCTCTGCCCCTCCCTTCCTCCCTCTCTCTCTCCCTTCCTCCTTCTTTCTAATAAAAAAAAAAACCCACAACTTTCAGGTCAAGTCGCATAGATAGCAGGGGGCGGGGAAATGCTGATTATCACCAGACCTGGGGAGGGAGGCATTAATACCCGCACAAGTAGACCAGGAGTCAAACCCAATGGCAGGCAAATCACCATAGTCACATGGCTAGTAGTGCCCAGGCTGAGGGCCCAGCTGTGGTCTGTTTATGCTTCATGATAGCCACAAAAATGGGTTTTTATGCAGTCAGATTTTCCTTCTGCTGCTCTCATACCCCTGGTGTTTCTTTGTAGCCTGGTAACCTTCTTGCTCCATCAGGACTGAGGCAAAACAACCTAACATATTCTGAGGAATCTCAGGACCATCCACCGCCACCACACATGCTAAGCAAAGGGAGTGGATGAAAAGGGAAGTGAGTGGATGAAAACATCTTCAAACAACTCACCACGATGCTTTCCAGTAAACAGGCTGCTGCCCCCCCTTCCCTCAAAAGCTCTGCCATGTAAGCAGATTTCATCTTTCCTTGTCCTCCCAGACACTCCCCTGGGCCTTCCTCCACTGACCGGAAGTCACATCCAGATGCACAGGGTCACTGACGCTGGTCTGGTACATCTGGCATCTGTACTCCCCACTGTCCTGTTTTTTGGCCTCAAAGCTGTAGTTGGACTGGACCAGGATTGGGAGGAAGCTCCCATTATGGTACCACTGGGTGTGCTCCTCAGCTCTGTGGGCCCCCTGGCACTTCAGAGTCACGGAGTCACCCTGGAGTACGTTGATCCACGGAGGCTCGAGGTCCAGGACAGACTTCGGGAGACCTGCTGGGTGGCAGAGAGAAGATGAAGCTGAAGCAAAGGGAGCCCCAAGATCCTAGGCAGGCCCCGGATTCCAGACAGTGAAGCACCTCTGGTCCTGCTGGGGACATCAAGAGTGGAACCCAGAACTGTTCTGTAGCTGTAACTAATTCCTCTCACTCATACATCCCGCCGCAGGGGCCCTCGGGAAGCCAGGTGCTCTCAGGGAGCTTGACCATTCCTCAGACAGAGAGCAAAACGTAAGAGAAAGGGAGAGAGGGGCCAGGCAAACACTCTAGAAACACTAGAACATCCTGGAACACTCTAGGATGACTCACTAGGGGTCATCCTAAACAGTTCTTCCTTCCTTCCTTCCTTCCTTCCTTCCTTCCTTCCTTCCTTCCTTTCCTTCTCTCTCTCTCTCTCTCTCTCTCTCTCTCTCTCACACACACACACACACACACACACACACACTACACATCCATACCTTTTTTGGAACTCACTTTTTTCCCCTGTGAACTGAGGCATTTTGGGCACTAGTGGATAAACTCTAGAGCCAGATGAAGACAAGTGGGGGCAGCTGGTGGAGGTGTCGGCATGAGTCAGACATCAGGTTTCTATTCTGACCTGATGTCAATCTTTGTCCCTTAGAATAGACCTGTCCTGGCACCAAAGTACAGAGGAGTCTCTGTGGCCTCAGAAAGAAAAAGAAAGAAAGGCTGGAGGTCTAGTCTAAGGAGCCCTGGGGTCAGTGCCCCAGGGAGAACTGCATCCCCATCCCCTCCCTGGGAGCCTGGGAGGTAGGGAGCTTCCTAGTATTGAGAAAGGAGTGCGCAGCAGCATGTACTTCACCGAGGTGCAATCAATCAATCAATCTCTTCCTATTTCTGTTCAGAGAACAAGGCCCTGAAGCCCTCAGAGGCATGCAAAGTGGAGGATTTATCAACACATGGAGATAATCTAGGCAGATGATGGGATTTCGCGTGCAGCTAAAACGAAAAATGTTTGGGCTCTTGATTTTACTGAGAGAGGGGGGTGAGTTATTTTCTGGGACAATATCTGTGATGTCTCACCCTCTCAGAACCAGAAGGGTTAAAGCACCTGTGCACCACGGCTGCCTATCCTCTGCTTCTCTGAGAGGAGGGGAAAGAGAAAGGAGACAGGTAAAGGGTCAGGGCATCTCCTGGGAGCATTACTCCTTCCTGGCTCCACCTCAGTCCTGGGTTACTGGTGCTTTCTAGGTGCATTCACCTCCAGGCGGGGTGCTGGGAGCACAAGAAGAGGGTAGCTGGGGGAGGGAGAGGATGTGGGTGGAGTACTTACCAGGTGTCCCAGCGACTGGAGCTGTTTAAGAGAGAAAGCAAAGATCAGCCCAGGGTTTAGATTTGATGACTCATCATTACAAGAATCACTTCCAAAAAAAAATCCCCTCCATGCAAATCTCCTTAACTCCCTTGCCCTTCTCTGTCTCTGTTAAATCCAACTGTACAGTCCACACCTTTACTTGTTCAGCTCTGTGGTACTAAAATGACCACACAAGCAGGCAATGGGTGTCTCTATAAATCAATGGTCACCATATTCAAAAGGGCACTGAACTGCCAGTTTGACACTTTCTCTAGTAAATCTGCTCTATGGCTTTCAGCAGTGACACTCATCTTTTCCTCATTCTCAAAACTTTCCTGTCTTCTGCCTCCAATCCCTTCTTGCCTAAAGTGGATGCCTTTCCTTCATACTTCACAGAAAATAAAAGCAGTTAGACAGGAAATCTCACACCTTCCCCCAATTCAAATGTCTAACCTCTCTGCCCCTCTGCCCAACTTCCTTTCTTGCTGTTCACTGGGGGAAGTCTCGGTCCTCCTCTCCATGGTCACTCTCTATCCTGGTTCACAATCCCTATCACCCTCACAAGGATTTCCCCCTCTCTGTTATTCCCACCCTCTTCTGCATCCCCAATTCCTTCTTAGCTGGATCTTTCCCATCAACATAAGCATTTTCCAGGATCTTTCGTTAAAAAAAAAAAAAAAGCTTGATCCCACCTATAATTCCAAAATTATTCCTTTGCTCCCTTTCATAGCCAGATTTCTCTTTTTTTTCTACATTGTCTGCGCTCATTTATACTCCTTCCATTCTCTGCAATTTGGACTCTGCCTTTTTTTTTTTATGATAGACACACAGTGAGAGAGAGAGAGGCAGAGACACAGGCAGAGGGAGAAGCAGGCTCCATGCACCGGGAGCCCGACGTGGGATTCGATCCCGGGTCTCCAGGATCACGCCCCGGGCCAAAGGCAGGCGCCAAACCGCTGCGCCACCCAGGGATCCCTGGACTCTGCCTTCTTAAGTCCACTACTTTTCTTTCCCATTCTTCCCAGACAAGTGTACATCTTCACCATCTCCCCCGTTACTCATGCTTGAAAACTGTAAGTCATCTTTATTTCCCTCTCTCTCCTGAGCCTCTTTCCTTCACATCAGTGAATCTTGTTGATTCTGCTTCTGACTCATGCCCTGAGTCCATCAACTTCGCTCCCTACTCACGGCTACCATTCTAGTTTAAGTCCCCATCAACTTTCTCTTGCTTCCCAACTCCTCTCCTCATTCCTTTGTCCCCTATAATCCACTTCCCATAGAAAGGCTAGAGTTGTCTTTAAAATATCAGGTCAGATAATATCACTCCCTTGATTAGAAGCCTTCAAAAGCCTTCCTCTGCTCTTGAAATAAAAGTACATCTTTACAAGGCCGCATGGGACAAGGGTCTTACTCACCTCTCCCGCCTCATCTCAAGCCCCTCTTCCTCCATTCATTGAGCTCCCATAACACCAGCCTTGTTTAAATTCTTCACACTTGGAGCTTTTGTGTTTGTTGATCCCTCTTCTCTAGACCTGTTTCCTTTGTCTCTTCAAATAGCTAGATCCTTGCCATACTCAGAGTCCCAGCTCAAGTGTCACCTCCTCAGAAAATGCACTCCATATCATTTTATTTAAGTAGGCTGCCCTTTCTTCTTCCCCACAAAAACTACTCTTATCAAAGTATCCTGTTTACATATTCATGGCCCTTTCCAATGTATATTTATTCCTGTGTGTCTGTCTATATGTTGTTTATATCTCCTAGGAGAATACAAGCACAAAGAGGGCAGTAGCCATATCAATTTTATTTGCCAATGCTCTGGAAATCACTTATTGAATGAGTCTAGGTGGGAGATAGGAGGGGCCACAGTTGTATTGACAATAGGAATTGAAAAAGACACGCACATGAGAGAAATTTAAGGGGCAAAACTGAGGAAACCTGGCACTTGATGAGAGTGGGGGTAATGTAAGTGGATGGCTGGGAACAAGGTTACTTGTGCTCACACCTATATAACTGTTTGTAAGAAACGTACATATCATTGCGGAGAGGTCCAACCAGCAGGTGAAAACATAAAATGTAGTTGACATAAGCAAGAAAGACAGGTTTGGAAGTTGTCGACATAGAAGTGATAACTAAAAAACAGGGTATGTCAGGTTGGCAAGCGGGACAGTAAATAGGGAGCAAATAAAGAAGTAGAGCCTAAGAGGAGGGGTAGAGGAGAAACAAGAAAGAGATGAGAAGAGTCTAGAGAAGTCATCAGCCATGTATTCATTCCACATTCAACAAATGGTCGTGAATACACACTCAATAGAGTCATTGTAAGGGAGACAAAGTCTTTGTGCTTTATATCAGGAAGGCTGTCTGTCTTGTTCTTTGGTAAATCTCCCAAGTCCTAGAATAGGGCCTGTTCATAGCAATTATTTAATGTTTAAGCAAGGCAGTTTGTGGAATCTGTAGAAAGTGGGAAATGCAGTGCCTGGTTGTAGAGGAAGATCCACTTGGGCCAATGGGAACATGGTTAAGAGGGTAGGATTGGGGCCTTAGTTAGCAGGCAATGGAGCAGCACCGGAGGCATTTCTGAAGTTCAGTGACTCAGCTATAGCTGTACTTGAAGATGTCATGGCCTTGGTGTGCAGCACAGATTCAGAGTAGAGGAGACAGGAATAGTTGAGATGGGATCAGAGGCTGTTGTAGAAGTTGAGTTATTGAGTGATGAAGGCCTAAATATTGCGGTCCAAATAAGAATGGGGAAATGGAGCACATCCTTGGTGACTTAGCAAAAAGGCAAATGGAAGAAAATATCAAGTTGTGTCCAAGAGTCTGGCCCAGGTGACTCTATCAGCAGAGATGGAGAAGCATATCACCTCTCCAGGCCCGAGCTTCTTCACATGAAAAATGAGATAGTTTAATGCTCCTTTTACCTGTTATTCTACTTCAGTCCATTTTGTCCTGCTCAGGAAGGAATACTCTCTCTTCCTCACCTCTACCTCCTAACCCCGTATCATTCAGCATTGAGGGCCAAGGGCTTCCAGAGATGACCAGATTTTATTATAAGTCATAGCACCTATCTTGAGAGGGACTACATGTCTTCCTCTGGGGCCATCCTAAGGTGTATTTGAGGGTAGAAACTCTAGGAATTGAGCTTAGAGAGACAATCCTGGTAATAGGGCTCCCCTAGTTGGCCTCCTTAGACTTCCTCCCACCATCTGGACCTAGGACCCCGAATTTCTCGCTGATTAGAGCCAGGACCTTTCCCAATGCGTGTGTAGTACAAGGAAGCATGCATGATTTCTCTGGTCCTATGATTGACGATTCCAGAAATGCCCGGGTTTTGAGTTCTCTGAGTCCCTGTTCCCTGGATAACCCAGACCCTTTTGTGCTTCTTCCCAGGGGAATCTAACACATACACAGAATAGGGTTCTGCTGCCTAAAGTGGCTTCAGGGGCACAGAGAATGGGTACTGCCCCACCACGAAGTGCCCTATTGCTTCCTGCCCACCCCTCGTCCAAGACAACATCCGCACTCCCATCTAAGATTTGGTCCCTGTGAAACACAGATTTCTAAGGAAAGGAAGCACCCTGGCCACTCATTAGCCACTCAAGTCTAGGTCACTGGGCTTTCCTCAGAGCAGGTTCAGATGTAGGTAGCAGCAGGACATCAGGGACCTGGCTGCCCAGGGATATTGGGCAAAAGACACTGAAAACAACAACTACTCTGCCAATTTCGTCATTTGCCCAAGCCAGTGGTTTGATCTTCATCAGCCTCTTGACCCTCCCCATTCTCCTGATCGCTTCCCTGCTACCCCTCATCCTTGCCCAAGCTCAGCCCAACCCAGGTAGCAGCAGCTGAGTTAGGAAAGTGCACCTGCCTCCGCCCCACCGTGAGGACAGGACTCACCCAGGAGTAGCAGAGCTGCCCACAGTAGCATGTCACCCAAACGACGAAGGCAGGGCATGCAACCAGCCTGGTCACTATCAGCAGCAGGGAGGGAGAGGACCGAGAGGTCCTGGCACACGTCAGCTCTAGCAGCACCAGTGTGGCAGGCACAGGCTTCTCTTGAGACTTGACAGATTCCACCCCAGAGGACAGACAAATTCTGAAATCCAAAAGAGGAAGTGAAAAGAAATGTTGTTTTATCACAGGCTCCTCCCCTTCCACCGTTTTTCCTCTCAACTGTTCCCTCCCAGAAGATTCAGAGCTTCCCAGAATGGATCTGGCTCAGCCCAATTCCAAATTCACAGAAATTTTAGAAACTGGGAAACAACTTCCTCTTCTTTTGGGACACAGCTGGGCTCAACCTCTGGGAGTAAGAAGGGAATGATCACCCAAACTCAGCTCAGAACCTCCTATCTCTTCATCTCTTTATTTCTCTTTAGATAAGGCAACTGAACAGAATAAACAGCCAGTCTTCTCTGACTTCAAGTTTCATTTGGAGGCCCTGGTGCTCCTGAAACTGACGGGGGGCGGGGTGGGGGGACTTGGGGCCACCCACCATTATTTGATTTTCTTTGGTATTATAATCCCTGACTTACTACTCATGGGCTGTGGAGCAAGAACAAGGATATGTGTCAGGGTGGCAATAGGATGATTAGACTCATCCTCTTAGTCTCCTCTGGTATCATTCTTCTTTTTTTTTTAAGATTTATTTATTTATTTGATAGAGCACGCATGCAGTGGCAGGGGGAATGATGGAAGAAGATTGGGTTGTTGCTATAGCTGATGTGAAATGTATAGCTAGAAATAGTCCTGTTAGGATTTGTAGAATTAGATACAAGTCAAAAACAAGAGTTGGACGCCCAACTGACTGAGCCATCCAGGCAAACCTGGCATTCATCCTTTTGCTTGTTCCTTCAGCAGATGTCTTTTGAACCCTAACTTGTGCCCTGGTTCTTTACCTTTACTTATTCCCATCACTTTTCCTATCACTATGGCATGGTGAAGGAGCTTGGGCCTTGGAGCTATATAAGTCTAGTTTTGAATGTCAGCTAGCTTCTCACAAGCTCAGATTACTTGTCTATAAAAATGAAGGTGGTCATGCCTACCTTGCACGCAGGATTTCTCAGCCTCAGTGCTTTTGACACTTGGGGCCAAATAGTTCTCATTGGGGAACTATTGTGAGGAACTGTCCTGTACATCGTAGAATGATTACCAGCATCTCTGACCCCACCCACTAGATGCCAGTGGCACCCCCTAGTTGTGAAAACAAAAATGTCTCTAGACTGTGACAAATGTTCTCTCAAAGGCAAAACTGCCCCTCATTGAGAATCACTGCACTCAAGGCTTTTGGAAAAGAAAAGAAAATTTGAGTACTAGCAGAGCGTGTGGTGCATCATGCATATCCAGTGAAGGCCAGTTTCCTTTTCCTGCTTTCTGCCATCATCCTCATCACCATTTGTTCACCTTCAACATCCCCAGAATATAAGATCCTCTTCTTGGGGCCCCTTCCTGGAGCCTCTTTCCCAAGTGCCCTCACAGGAAGTAAGCTGTGTGACTCAAGGAAGTAAGACTGTAAAATCTCTTCTCATACCTGTGATCTTCAGAAACTTCAACAGCCTCAGCCCATCAACCACAGGATCTTACTACTGGCCCCAGTCAGGGCCCCTACCCCAATCTACCTCCAGCCCTATCTGATTTTTAGGTGAATTTCTTGCCCAGTGACAAGAGTCCAGTGATCTGACATCAATACTTCAAAAATATCATTAGAAACTGATAAAATAAACGTGTATATCAAGATGGAAGATATACACAAGATGGAAGCCCCACTGCCGGTGGCCTGGCCCATGTCACAAAATCTAAACCTAAGTCAGCCTGTGCTTACAGGAAACACCTGTCAAGGAAACCTCACATACACCAATCACAATCTTCCAACTCAGCTTTAGCTAACTTACCTTATCCTAGGACATAAGACCTGCTGTCCTTATAGGGAAATCCCCAACCTTCCAGCTGATCAAGTCATTTCCTAATTGACTCCTCTAATACTCTATAAAACTCACTTTTCCACCAAATCCCTCAGGAAGAATGCTCCACTATTTGTGAGGCACTGTACTTCCCAATCCATGGACAGTTTTCCCTTAAATAAAGGACATCAAATTTCTTATTAATTTGTTTTAGTTTGGGGGCACCTCAGTGGCTCAATGGTTGAGAGTCTGCCTATGGCTCAGGTCATGATCCCGGGGATTGAGGCCTGCATGGGGTCCCCGCAGGAAGCTTGCTTCTCCCTCTGCCTATATGTTTGCCTCTCTCTCTCTCTTTCTCTCTCATAAATAAATTAAATGTTTTAAAAAATTGTTTTAGTTTTGTCATTTGACAGTTTTGGCAATGAGGATGGGATCCCAAGACTATTGCTGAAGATTCTGGGGTTGGTGCCTAGATGCCTGTGAGGGTCCCCCCAGAGCCATTTTGGTTTGCTACCTCTTTGGCTGCTTTCTGGATCTCTGGTAAACTTTTTTTCAGATTGAGCTCTGCCTGTTTCATATGCTGAGCTCTTCAAGTTTGTTTGTTCTAATCCTACCAGGTGGAAAATTGGGGTGTGAGAGACTGGATTTTTCATGATGAGACCTAATGAGTCACAACATTTGGGTTTGGAGCCTACTTTGTCTGCAAAGTACCTTTTAGAGGTACTACAGGTCTCATGGACTATGCTCAGGCAGCCTGAAACAGTAAATCTGGTTGAAATAGGGAGGATTACTTCAACAAGGGAAAATAATGGGTCCTCCTCAATCAAAAGAAAGTATGATTGTAGCCCTTAGGGACCCATAAGGCTCAAGGCAAGTCCACAGCATAAACAACTGGAGGACATGAGGAAATAAATGAAGACAAGAAATTTGGACCTTTTTGACCAATAACCCATCAAAATCTAAGTAGGCACAAGCCAGAGTATTAAAATTCATTCAAGGGGCACCTGGCTGGTTCAGTCTGTAGAGCATGTGACTCTTGATCTTGGGGTTGTAAATTTGAGCCCCACGTTGCATGTGGAGATTACCTAAAAATAAAATATTTTCTAAAAAATAAAATAAAATCCATTCAAGTGTCTGTCACTATAAAGAAATATTTGTGGGGGTGGGGGTGAAGGGGGTGGATATTCTTGTTAAAAGCATAATTGGTCTATTGCTGATGAGAATCTTGGAAGCCATACCACAAAATACCTTTTAAGGACTTAAAAGCTGTTAAAGCATTTACTACCCAAATCTAAGATTCCCATGCTAGGATAAGTTGGTTAGGGAACAAGTTAGATTGACACTAGGTCACCTGCCAACCCAAGAAAATACCCAAGCAGTGATATAACTGTAAAACACCACACAATCCTCAACCCAGTAGCACATCCCTCTTAGTTATTAATTTGGCTATAAGAGACCTAAGGCGTAGCTTAAAGAAATGAGGTCCTTAATTTGAAAGAATCAAGCATGTCACCTTCCAGCATACTTGCTTATTTGGTGTATAAGAACCATGGTCCTGAAAAAAAAATAAAAATAAAAAAAATTAAAAAAAAGAACCATGGTCCTGGAAGCTGTAGGCTTTTATAGAAGCTGCCACCTATAAAAATGGCAAAATCTCACTAAGATAAGCTATAATTACAATGGCTATCATTGAAAACATTTAGTTAGACAAGATCATTCATTTAAGAGGTACACTTGAAAGTAAACTTTCCAACTCAAACATAATAAGCTACTTAATTTTTTATTTTATTTTATTATTTTATTTTTTAAAGATTTTTTTATGTATTCATTTGAGAGAGAGAAAGAGGGGAAAAAATAGAGGGGGTGGCAGAGGGAGAAGCAGCCTCCCCGCTGAGCTGGGAGCCTGATGTGGGGCTCAATCCCAGGATCCTGGGATCAGGACCTGAGCTGAAGGCAGATGTTTAACCAACTGAGCCACCCAGGAACCCCGGGCTACCTATTTTAATTAGTCTGCAGAAGTTTCCAAAAGTCTTTTAAGATTCTGAAAGAAGTTCATTGACAGATTCACTGCAAAAGGCTAATTAAAAATGAAAGACTCAAGAGGTACCCAAAGCAAAAGCCTATGAGACCAACACGACTAAAACTATTTCCCTCTATTTTTTTAACTTGAGTACTCATAGTCTACTAGTCCTCTATCCAAATTGCTTTTCCACTTGGAAAAGATGTACAAGACCATAAACACAAGCCTGCCAAGTTAGTAATCTCCATATCTACCTTCAGAGGAGGTCCTCCATATCTGCTCCTCTGAAGGTTGACAGGACTCTGAGGAATTCTCTAGCAAAGTGTTACCAGTTACTCCCTTAAACAGCCAAGGGGAAACTAAAGTTAAAAATAGTGGAAAACCTTCCCAAATTCTGGTAGACAATGGAGCTACACTCTACTTTAAACCCCTCTCTCTCTAGAACTTGCAGATAGGATCTTGGGGAAACTGGCAAAATTTGGCAAGAATGAGAATTCTTATTGGAGTCAGCTCTCCCATATCTCCTACAGTGCTTGGTCCAGAGAGGAAAATAAAATTCCACATTGTCTTTTCCTTCCTAAATTCAGACTTTGTGAATTTGGTTTGGAGGCATCCATGATTTGTCAATTCTTTCTCTCCCACGAATATCTACTGCCTTCTTATTTGTCTTGTGTCCTAAGAACTTGATGTGGCAACTGTCAGGTTGGAGACCCCCAAAATATGGGTAGACAGAAATATGGGTTGCCCTCATCTGTAGCTGGAGTCCTTCCAACTGCTGCCAGTTCTCAGGAGGTTGTCTTTCTTTTGCCTGTATTTGGGAATGGCTCTGGATCTTGGGAAAATTAATATATTTTGCACCTCTGTGGGGGTACCTCTTAGGTCCATGGAATTCATAATGAAGGAACATTTAGGGTTTGTCCCAGCTGAAACGTGACGATATATTTGAAATAATTTTTTAAGTATATCTATGGTCAGAAGTTGACCAAATTGAAAGCTGATATTCAGAATCCAGTAGAAACTTTTTTTAAGGCCTTCTTTCTTTAGTTAAATAAAACTGTGGGCTCAGAGGAGAAGAAAAACATTCCAAAGACAAATAGCTATACATTTAGATCATAGATTCTTTTGATTTCTAAATTAATTGAAGATCTTTCCCCTGATACAAAGAAGCAAATTGAAGAAAATGCGGTTGGCTGAGTGGGTCAGCCCTGTATCATTCAGGTTGCAAGCCAGTTCTT